CCCAGGGTGAGATCTAAAACCTGCAGGGCACCGGCCCTCAAGGCCTGGAGTTGCCCACCCCTGATCTAATGTAATGCTAGATAAAAGGTATTTTGTCTACATTTCAGCTCTCACCATACAGTACACGGGGGGGATGTCCGGGGAAGAAAAATAAAGCCAACATAGAAGTGCTAAAAAGTGCAAAGCACCCCCAAAACAGGCAAAACAGAAACTGTTAAACTGGCAAAGAAAAAACCCCAACTAAGTTTACTCATACAATCTGGAAGTTGTGTTCTCCCTATATTAAAGCTGCTATACAGAATCTGCTAAACAAACTGGGTTGTCAGCCCTGGCACTGCATTACCATATTGAGCTTCAGTCAGAGGAAGTCACGGTTGCCAAAAACTTTTTGAAGCTCAAGAGTGAGGCTGGTGCCATTCCAGATATGTTAACATTGTACAATCTTCTGGATAATCAGATCTTCCCCACACTGAAAACTGTTATTCGGGTTGCCCTAACAAACCCAGTTAGCAACTGTAGCTGTGAAAGGTCTTTTAGTGTCTTGAGTCAGCTCCATACCTGGCTGAGAAGGACCATGGGTCAAAGCTGACTCCAGCACCTGGCTGTGATGTCAGTTGAGAAAGAGATGCTTGAGAGACTTGACCACCAAAATGTGATAGACAGATTTACCAACCTCAGGTTAAAAGAAAAGAAAAAAATCTGCAAAGCCATAGTAGCATCTGCAGTAAAGATCTTTTCATACATTGTATACATTGTACCAGAGGCCAAGGTGTCTCAATTTTTCTAATTTTTTAATAGTATTTTGTACATTTGTACATTTCAAGGACTCTTCTATTTATGGATTGTATTTTTATGTATCTGTATTATGTTATACATACACATTAAAAGTGAATCTCTGTCCAGAAAATGCACTCAGTTTACTATTTACTCACTGTGAGCATCATTCATTATTCTCCTCCAGTAATTAAGGTTAGGATATGTATTTTTTTTTCAAATTCCAATCCATTCTTCTTTAGCAGCATTTAAATAACCTTTATCAGATTTGATGGTTTTGTTACAGACTTTTCAATAAAGTGTTTTGTTTTTCTTTCACAAATGTGGGGATTAAATTGTGTTAAACTGTACAAAACAGTGATGTCATGTTTTGTGACGAGGACCCAGGCACAGAGAGACTTGATTATATAAATAAATCATAAGATTTAAGAATCTTATGATTTTAATAAAGAAATTTGCAGACTTGCACAGAGATGGTAAAATTATGATGACTGATAATGGAGATGAAGACAACAGACGATGCCTGTGTCTTTTCCCGTGTGTTATGAATAAATTTTCTTTTTTTTTTGGTACCGGTACTGGTTTTACTTTGTTGTATTCATCCGTGACACCATAAAGGCTGGTCCATGAAAATATTGTCATACATAAACCGATTCGTGGCACAAAAAAGATTGGGGACCGCTGCTCTAATGTAATGCCAATTGAAGTTGCCACGATGGCTATATCCTTCTTTTATATACATTCTGTAGATGCATATTGTGTTAGCAAGTGTTTTGACCTCCAGTGTTTGTGGTTTTCAGCACATGGAACGTGTTCTCCCATAAATAGACCATGTAGAGTATCTTCCCTCCAAATTACAGATACAAACACGGCAGAAGCGTTTGCCACACTCGGAAGTGACGCGAAAAGTGCCTTAGCAACAGGTGATGCACTTGGATGTGCATTCTAAGACAGACCCACAGAAGAAAAGCTTGCTTTCATTCCCATTTTTTGCATACTTGGAAACTGCTTTTGTGAAGAGGTTGTGCTCGGTGGGTTGTAATTTTTAAAAAAAAAGAAAGTCATAAATATCGATTGTCCCAGTATCACAGAAGTGTGAGGGGAGGCACATTTCAGGCACCTTAACAATTCAGCAGCTGCTTCGTTTGAAGCATGCTGACAACCTCAGTCCCATGAGTGCAATGATGGGGTGATGAGTTCGAGGTCTCCAGCAGTATTACTAGAACTTTGATTTTCTTTCTTTCTTTCTTTTTTACAAAGGTTTCATCCCCTAACAGTATTATATTGGTTTAGTGGGTGACCTGTGCAGATGATAGCCACACTGCAACCATCTATTCTGTTAAAAAGAGGAAATGTGGCATAAAGCATGCATGTCTAGCCACAGCCAGGTTGTTAACTGTAATAAGAACCTGGCTATGACAGCACAACATGATCATCTGGACAGAGCTTCTGCATTTACTCGTCTTAAAATACTCTTTATGCAGTCACTTAAGGTAGGTGTGCATGTCTGTGCATCTACGGTGGGCACTGCATGCTTGTTTAACATTTCCTTCTTCTATCACCATAACTGCAGCCTGGTTTTTGCCTTTTCCAACCCACACTCAGAAGCAGACATCCAACTTGTGCATGCGGTCTCTTATCTGTGGTGTTTACTCTCATACTGTATCCTGCCAGAGCATATTCGTCATGCAGGTGGTCATTATTTCTGAAAGCGAAATTGTGCATCTCGGAGGAGCGATGCGTGCGGGGCATCACTTTCACTCTGTAAACTGTATTCACTCCATAGTAGGTGTTTGTAAGACCAACAAGAGCAACCTGCCGCCATGCAGAATGGATTTAATTTGTATTTTTCCATAAACTCAGTCATCCCACGGAGTTCTCGCAAATAGATCTTTTGAGCATTTCAGACGGTGCCGTGTCCTCTGCTTTCAAAACCCGAGCACTCTGGGGAAATTAAATCATAACAGGTCCTTCAGTGCCCCCATCAGGATCTCTCTGGCACCTCCATCCACCTCTTTTCATCTCTTTCATCTTCAAAAATCTCATGCTTATTCAATTTGATTCTGGCTTCTCCACCACAAAATCCTTTTTTCCCCTCTTACTCTCTCCCTCGCTCGCTGTTGTTAAACTCCCAGAGTATTGCCGCTGGGCGAAGCCATTAAGAAACGGCAAACAGCTATGTCGAGTCGGCAAACACTGGTGTGCATACAGGTGGTGCAGAGCTAACAGACAGGAATCATTACACTGCTCTACTCTGATCGCTGCTATTCCTCTGGGACTGAGCGCGCTCGGCATATGTACAGATGGGAACACACACACAGACACACACACACTGGTAGAGATTAAATCATATGTGGGTAACAGGTACATGAAAATATGTCAATACATGTACAAAGGTACACACAGGAAGTGAGAATCAAATTGTTTTGTCCAAGAACAAATGAAAGAAGGATAAGAAGCCACAGTAAGGGAAAAACAAGAAGAGAGCAAGCCAAGAAGAAAGGCAAACCTAAATCTCCACTTGTTATTGCACCTGAGGCCAGAGAGTCGGCTCGCTCGGCAGGCTGGCTAATGGTGCGACATTCTCCAGCATATTTCACTGGACACATTTAAATTTGCTGCTGCTCTGACCTAGTCATAGCACATCTCTTCCTCATTTGTCCTCTACGTCTGTGTGTGTGTGTGTGTGTGTGTGTGTGTGTGTGTGTGTGTGTGTGTGTGTGTGTCTGTGTGTGTGTGCAGAAAGGATAATGACTGCATTGATCAGAGACGTCCCCAATGGGTGGTCTTGTTCCGTCAAGGCTGAGAGAAAACGAGAGGGCGAGCGAAAAGAGAAAGGGAGAGCGGGCGAGCGAGCGGGGCCAGAACGGGATGCCCTCTGTGGCAACCCGCCTCGACGCATTAGCCAATCAAATATCCATCTTGGCTGTCGCCTCCCTGCTCCACGCACACTATCAAAAAGTAATCTGCGGCGCTGTTTTTAATCGCCCGTCATGTCTCTGTTCCTTCCTTCCTACATCATTTCCTCGCTACTTCTTAAAATAATCGTCTTTATGTCCAGGATAACACAAAGAACAGCACGGGGTGAGTGCGGATGTGTCCACGCAAGGGCCCGATAGATCTCTGAAAGTATGAAAAGCATGTGATTCGGATACTCTGGCCTTGACAGGTCAACAGATCTCAACATGGGTGCCATGTTAAGCAATGTTTTCCATCTGCATCAAACAGTTAATGAGGGGATATTTTCATTATGGTTCCTGAAACGATGGGTATTTTGGGTATTTCAGCCACTGGTATGAGCATATCTTGAAAGAGCAACTAACCAACTGACCAATTAGGAACACCAAGACAGGGTAAGTGAAAAGCTTCAAAAACAGTCACTGCTTGAAAAGTCTACATCCTATCAAAAACAAATAAAAGTTTGAGCAGACAAAAAACTTTTTTGGGGGTTTCTAGAGAATTCTTGTACATCCATCCGGCCGTCATTTTCTTCATCATTTTCCTCCTCTTGCAGGGAGCTGGAGCCTATCCCGGCTGTCCTAGTTGCGTGCCTTTTAGTTTAAGGCTGTCCAGGGTGTGCCCTGCCTGTCATGAAGGCTTGGTTAGGCTCCATCCTGCAAAAATTCTTGTAGTGAGCTTATTTCTGCTGGGAGCGATCGTTATTCGTACTCACTTCCTTACTTGAAGGACTGTTGATGAACAGATGGACACACTTGATCAGACGATCTTCTTCACAGAGAAGAGAATAGAGTGTAAAGAAGGAGTAGTATTATTTTATTTTTGTACGTACTTATTTTTAATAATGGAGTTGGCATGTTCTCCCTGTGCCTGGGTGGGTTTCTTCCTACAGTCCACACAAATACATACTAGGCAATTCTACATTAGTTGTAAGTGTGTAGTGGATCGAGCAGTGAAGGAACATCAGACGCAGGTTAAAGTAAAAAAAAAAAAGGCTTTTTATTTAACCGCAAAACAAACTTGGTTAAACTGACTGAAAAGCTGACAGCAAACAATACTACTAACTCAAAGAAACCAGCCTACCTGAATAAGACAAAGGGGAAACATAAATAGTGGCTGATCAGCTCACAAAAACACACAAATACCCAACTGAAACTAACATAACAAATTCCATTCCCCCCCATGATCCAGAGTATTGGTATGACCCAATTTGCAGTTCTCCATATAGGCTTGCTCCGCCCCTTTTCCACCTCTTAGCTCATCAACCAAGACACTGGAGCAGCTGCCACTGAGGTAACTCAGAAAACAAAAAGATTAAATCATACATAACACTGTAAACTAAAATGTGAGCACTTATTTTTGAATACGGTATTATGTATTGTATAAATGAATTAATTCTAAACCAAAACCAGTTCTTTATTATCCTGTAAATTAAATCCTGTATCTAAAGAAAGAAAAATGTAAATGTAGTGTTATATTTAAACCTCTATTGTAACACTATTACCATTGTGTGGCTGTAACTGCAGCCATCACATGTAGGCTCCAAACCTTTGCAACTGTGAAATGAATAAGCAGTTAATTAAATGAATGGATGGAGTTATAGATAATTACAGATTCTGATGTTTAATCTGAATTGTTTATTTATTACTTTTGAAATGAGTTTTTATGCCAATTGATCATTCATCACAATAAGCTTCCTATGTCATCATTTTTTATTTATTCTATTCAGTTGTGTACAGTATCTTATTCTTATTCTCATCATCTTATCCTATTCCAGTGTTTTTTTTTTATTTTTGCTATGTGACTTTGCACTGTCCACTTTCTGCTATAACAAAACAAATTTCCCACGTGTGGGACTAATAAAGGTTATCTTATCAGATTTTAAGATGGGGCAATTCATCAGCTTGCACTCTGTGCACCAGTGACCCAGTGCACTCATGGTGTCATAGCTTTGCTGTTCTAATAGAAGGCAACATATGCAACTTAACTTTAAATCAATAGCTCAGTAACTGCTCAGTCACACTAGGGCAGGGGTGTCCAACTCCAGGCCTCAAGGGCCGGTGTCCTGCAGGTTTTGGATAACATTCGGGGTCAACACACCTGAATCAAATGATTAGTTCATTACCAGCAATCTGGAAAACTTGAAGACATGTTGAGGAGGTCATTTAACCATTTAAATCAGCTGTGTTGGATCAAGGGCACGTCTAAACCTGCAGGACACTGGCCCTTGAGGCCTGGAGTTGGACACCCCTGTCCTAGGGTAAAAATAAGACAGCAACCCCCACGCAACTAAAACACTAGTGATTGTGTTCAATTTTTTCACATTGTGGGACTGATTGCAAGTATCTGTGATCTTTCACCAAATGTGGGGGACTTCCAGAAGTTTAGCATGCAACACCCTCAGCTTTGGCTGCCCACTTTTGATTGCAAAGTAACCCATCTACAAACAACTGCAGTCCAAGTCTGACTGACTGGCGAAGGTTTGGAAATGACTGCCATGTAATTTATAAACATGGATTGCGCAAGTCCGTTTGCGGTTATCATTTGTGACTTGTTTCTTTGCCATTGGGGATTCGACTCAGCTGGCTGCCAACTGGTTGCATTCTAGTTATACTCAAACATAAAAGCAAGGTTGCTGTCCTGAAGCAGCTGCGTCACTATTTGTGGAGAAATGTCTGAATTTATATTTCAGATCTATGAGGTTCTTGCTGAACTTTCTTTGTATGAACAACAACAGATTTGCGATTTTCACCAGTTTATCACAGTCAACTTTTGTATTAGCGCGATATAATATGCAGCTTCACCCTATTCATTCAGACTGATAGCAGACTGACTGCTTCTTATTGCCGTATTATTGCTATCTTGACGCACTAAATTCACTTGAAAGATGGAGAACTGACTGCGAGTGGTCCCCATCTTTGATGCAACCACTTCTTATCCTGACAGTTCTCATATAAAGCTGTTTTCCCATTACTCTTCACTACAAGCACTTAAATGTTACTGATCACACACATTAATGCTGAAACAACAGAATTAAGTAGAATGATGTTATGCTTTTAAGTAGTTTATTTAATCAAAAACGATCAATAACTCAAAAAGTCAGAAAATGGAAAAAAAGAATATTTTTAAATTTAAATAGATTAAGTTGCATCACTTAATCTATTTAATTACTGTGCGCTTACTGATGGTTAAAGAGTATGAGACTAAAAACCTGTGGGCTATTTTCCCACCTCCCATTGCTTCAATTATGCAGTTTACAGCAGAATTTATTCAGCAAAAACGCATTTGTTTAAGAGCACTGTGGTATTTTTTTCCACAACACATATGCATTAACTGATGTCTTCTTCTGACTTTCAGAATCGGGTTGTATACGGAGGATCTAGTCATCGCTCTTTTCATCGGGGGAAAAAAAAGGTACAACACTTTGAGGCCTGACAGCTCTGGAGTTCCATTAAGAATTCTTCTAAATTTACAGTGAGAGCAAACCGCCACAGCTTGCCGCCCACAGAAACAAGGCAATCACTCACCTCAGCCCCTCTATGCAGCCAGACAGGATTCGCGAACACACAAAGATTCAAAGAGAAATGTTCACGAATACACACACACACACAAATTCACAATATATATATACACACTCACGCAAAACCAGCGGAGAGTGCAGATGATGGTGCACACAAGTTCAGCTTCTCAAAGTTCCGTATGCAGGTGTCGATGTATGTCTATGTGTTAGGGCATGTGTGGATAAGGATCTGTCACGGAAAAAGGTTGTGCTTGCTGCCACTGCAAACAAGAAGTGTTGAATCTGGGCCTCAAACCACCAACCAATCTGAAACATGCTCCACCTTTGAGGCAGATGCACACTGAGGAGAAGCCTCATGGTTGCACTCAAACGAACGCCCGCCATTAATCCCTTTCTAGCGTAAAACGCATAGATACCTCTTCAACATTCACAGCTGCTTCTGTTGGGCTTGACATACATTCCTTTTTCTTCTTTTTTTTTTTTTACATTTATTTTAAAGACCTTAAAGGATTTTGCTGTTTAGTTTTGATGACATTCAGAAATACTGGATTTTCTTTGGATTCCAGTCTGTTCCCCGTGCGCTCCCCTGAAGGAGCGGGCAGGTCATTAAAAGTCAGGGCATGTGTCACGACGCCTGCCGGAGCGGTAGAAGGACCCCATCTCATCATCAGCGATATGTTTCTGTACTTGTGGCTCAGAAAAGCTTCAGATAACAAACAGGAAGGGAAAACAGAACCTGAAAGGCAGAAATAGATGTAAGCAGAGAGAGAGAGACGAAAATAAAAGAATGAAAAACGGAGATTGAGTTGCGAATGACGACCGTATCGGAATCAGATGAAACAAGTTTACGTTTCCACGATTCCATCACAAATAGACACGAGCAAGAAATGGCAAAAAAAAAAAGCCAGTAAATCTCCTGCTGTCTCTCTAGAGCTTGTCTGATGTCTCCCGGGCACGTATGAATATTAAATGGCCTCTTGTAAATCAAACAATGGTGTGTTAGTGAGCACTGAAATAGAATTAGTTGGGAAAGGGCAGATAATAAATTGACTCTCTTTTCACAGCCAAAGCCAAAAAAGCTTCTCCCCACGTGAAAAAGATACAGCCAGAGTACTACAGGGTAAAGTGTTGGAGAGGCCTAATGGCTTCGATTTTTTCCCCCTTTTCTCTCAGCCTTTCCATCTCCCCCTTACACACACTCACTCTTATCAAAAGGTTTAATAATGATAGCAAGCAGAGCATTACTGCTGGTTTGATCTCATCATTTCACGCATGCACACATTCCTTCGCTCTACCGCGAAAAAGGTTACGCACTAGAAAAGATAAAGCGTATACACTTGGATGCAGGTGTCTTTGCATGCATGCACCTGGCGAAAAAAAAATGCTATAGCTGGATGCAATGCGATAGTTTCGTTTTTGTGTGTATTTCTGGATGATTGTGGGCTGATTTTCCTCTCAGGTGCAACCTTGGATTGTGATGCAGTGAGGAGAAAGAAGAGAGAAAGCAACAGACATGAAGGGAGGAGAGAGAGAGAGGTAGGTGATACAGGTGAGAGAGAAAATCAACGAGCTCTCACACAGAGACAATCAATAAGCTCTCTTCTCAGTCTATTTCCTATGGGCTGGCCTCAGTAATAGCATTGTGCCAAAGCCGTGTGAGTGCAGCCTGGGAATAGGTTCAGGGTGATGTGATAGCAAAGTATGAAGGCAGCACTGCTGACTGGGACTCACACTAATTGTTACCTTTGTCATAAAAAGGGCAGAGAAATCACTGGGAGGACTGTGGTAGAGATTTATGGAGGCCTACCGGCACAGAGGGGTGCATGGAGATGAGGAGAGAAGTATTGTTATCCACGGCTTGGTTTTCTTTGACGTGAATGCAATATTTTTGTGTTGGGCTTATTAGATTTAGCCAGCTCATCATACACCACCAGGATTTTTAATCAATAACATGGTGAAATTTTGCTGTGTGAGACAGAGCACAGCGGCAGAGGATAGAAATCAGATGCTAATGCAATGGGAGCTGTTTGTGTTAAACTTTATGAAACTATAACATTTTCTAACTTTATTATCGATCTCATTCATCTCCACTCATTCATCGCAGGGCTATCTGATTATTGATTATTTATCTCTTAGAAAGGGAGATGAAAGGTAGCCTAAATATAAAGCAATGTCTGAAGCTAGCATGAGCCAAAAACAAAGCTAGCTTCTTTTTTGCTGTGCTCAGTGTTTTAACAAGTCATCTAAAGATGTGCTCTTGAACATTTTTAGACTAGCAATACACCAAATAACGTGTATTATCACTTCTAATAAATGCACTGAGACTTTACAGTTACCCCCAGGTAAAACATTTAGTAGCTTTTAGCTTTTAACAGCCTGTTGTTTTATACACAGCACAGATGAAGTCCATAGCAGGGCTAGAGTGAGTATGTGTTAGCAACCGGCAGCCTGGCTAATGGTGCGACATTAGCATGATTGTTAGCGTGACTGTTTTAACGTTCATATGATATTTTCAGTCAAGTTGCCCTTTCACCTGGTTAATTTAGCTCAAATACTGGATACTTGTTGAATTGAGTGATCTAGCCACTAGCCACCCAGTTTGTTCACAGCTGCTAGCAAAGATTAAGGTCTATACAATCAGTGTTGCCAACTCCTCAGTAAGGAAAATCGCTATTGGCTGGCTAGAAGTCACTAAATGGTGTCATTGCCTGATTTGCATGCTTATGCTTATGTATTTGTAACCTAGTTGTAGGAGAGAGAAATAACATCTTGGAAGGGATGTAAAGACAGTAAAAAACACCCTAAATGCATTTAGAATATATTTAGAACTACAAATTAAATTTCTTTTAGCAATTATTGGGGTTTTTTTTAGTGTCACAACTCCAGCCCACCTCCTTTATCTGGGCTTGGGACCTTCAAAAGTGACCCCAAAAAGGAACTTTGGCAGAGTTACTTTTGTGTGTGTATTTTTTAGTTTTAAACCTTGTGATCCACAAAAAGTAGCAGTAAAACAAAAACTGACTGCGTTACAGTCAGGGCAGGAGCAACGGCTTCACACATGTGCGATCCATTTGCAATTTGGACGCATAGGTATGAACATCTGCTCTAACACTGCTGCGTGAGGACTATCCGCACCTTGGCACGGGCGAGGTGCCCACGGCAGCACCCGCTGCCTGCTAAGAGTAAGAGCAATACGTGCTTTTACGTCAAAAAGTCGTCATAAGTCTCCAATAACACCAGCAAAAGTTTGGCAGATTAGTCGCTTTTTAGAAAAAAAAGTCGCATTAACGTGGCAAATCTCCGTTAGCGCACCTTAACCGTGCTAACACATTGACGCCATGCAGCCTCACGCACGGTGCGAACCGCGTTAATGCGGTTATGGCGTTAACGTCATTTTAACGAGATTAACACTGACAGCACTACTATTAGTGATATGTCTAGTAAAAAAGTCTTCTTGAACAACTTTATTTTTTCAATAAAGAGATAAAAAGTATATACTTAAAGATCTACTTCATGAGAAAAGCTAACGTAGTAGTTGCTGTTAAGAACTGTGGTTCAGTGGGTCAGCAGTGTTGCTGGGCCAGCATTCTTTAAAAAGAAATCAAAATTGACAGCTTTTTAAAAATCTTTGAAACTCCATTCTCCCCTACATTATCATTTGTTAAAGCAACACCCCCACTTCAGCAGGGGAATGATTAAAATCTCATGTCATCTAATAGTTTCCATGCATCACGCGCCTGCCTGTCCCTCTAAATCTCCACGAGGAGCAGAAAATAAAATCCAGTGTGACACATGGGGGATGACGAGGGTGGAATTTCCACTCTGGTGCAGGTGAACCCAATGATTCATTAAAAAGAATGAACAAGTCAGCAGGAGCGCTACTGCAAGGAGGAATACTTGGGCAGGTGGGGAGCGTGGCGAGAGGCAGGCTGGGCGGGGCTGAAGAGGCGAAAAGAAGGAGCGAGAGCCGAGAGGAGGGCAGTAGTTTCTATCCATATGGTCGGCCAGTTGGTTGGCGAGCCAGTAGTCAGGTCTCAATGATCCCTAGCTTCACCACGCATGACCGCCAAATCATCACACACAAACACACCCTGAGTGTGCACTCTCTGAAGCGGGAGTTGTGAGAGCTGTGGAGTCTGTATGAGTGTGTGCTGGACAGGTGCACCAGATGTCCACTTTCCACTCCTGTGGCCATTGTCACTAACATGCTCAGGTGTCATGGGAGGGGATGGAGGCCAAATGGCAGACGCAGAAACCAGCGTTGATGCGGGGGGTGGCCGTGGAGACCGAGAAGGCGCCGTCTGCATCCTTCTGGCAAGCGATGTAGGTAAACGGCTCACATGGCAGCAGCCCATGTAATATTTCACAACATTTAAAAAGGCCAAACGGGAATCTAACTCAGTCACTCAGTTCATTCCAAACTTGATCTCCTGAATATATTCGAATAATAAAAATAATTATTTGGATATATTCAGCACAGGTAGAAAAAAAATGTAAGTTAAGATGGCGTTACAAAGAAAATAGAAATTCACTTTTACAATTTTAGGAAACACCCAGATTAATAATTTGATTTCTGTCGGGTTACCTTGTGATCTCCAATTTTTTGAATTAGACACTAGAAAACACAGGTTGTGTTAATTGTTGCTAATTAGAGGATTCAAACCTGAGTGTCTGTAATAGCCTCATCCCATATGGGTTACATTAAACTAATACTGGTGCTCCAACCAGTGTTTTGTCTCCTTTTTTTCTCATCTTTTCACATCATTTATCCATTTTGCTGATCCAATTCAGAGCTGTGGAAGAGTTAGAGCCTATTTTCACATGAATAAGGAAAGGCAATGTATTGCCCAAAGTATTCACTCACCCATTCAAATGATTGAATTCAGGTGTTCCAATCACTTCCGTGGTGGCCATGAAAAGTGTACAAAATCAGCACATAGGCATGCAGACTGCTTCTACAAACATTTGCGAAAGAATAGTTTGCTCAGTGCACCTGAAGAAGAAACAGCAGTGTGATCAAAATATTCCCAAATGTACATGTTTGTCGTTCCTTGAGTGAGGTTTACATTGTTTTGGCAGAGCACCCAGCTGGTGTATAGGAAGTGTGGGGTAGCGCATCTGCTATCCTTCTCAGCTTCAGCCTGACCTCTCTGAGGGAGGCTGACACACAAACGCACATCATGGGAGGCCACCATCCCACGCAGGGCAGCTGAGTGAGCGAGCTAACAGCCCGTGACCACGCTGTAATTATGAGCCGTTTTCTAATTATGAAGCACTTTGCTGGTTCTGCTTCGACTGCTGAAACTTTTATTTTATTTGTTATGTTCTTTTGTAACACACGGGATTAGCGGCAGAAACTCGGGATGAAGGAAGAGGAGAGAGGAAAACGCGGGGTGAAGGAGTTAAAGGCGTGAGAAAAGTGTTACACAGATTTAGAAGTTAGAGAAAGGAAAAGTGGGAGAAAGAAACAGGCCCTCGGTCCCTCAGGCTGTAGCCTTCTTAGCGTGGCTTTTCACTGAGAGAAGTGCCAGCAGGCTGCCTGTAAAACAGAATCATTACACCATTAACCCTCAATCAATCTTCATTTGACCATGCTGTAAGAAACCATATCAGTAGAGAAGCCGTGGACCTTCTGGAAGTTGACTGTGGAAATGGGGTGGAGCGAGGGCTACTAAACACCCCCCGCCCCCAGCCCGCAAGCCTGAGTCTGGGCATGGCCAAGTCTAAGTGCAACCTCTCCCCCCTCTACCTTCTCTCACTCCCCCCCCCTCCTCCTGTGGATCTGCGGTTGGCTGCTGCAATGAGAGGTGACTTGTGGCCAATTGTGATTTATGTGGTGGTGGGTTTGGCTGTGCGGGACGTGGGCCGGTGGAGGCGAAAAGATGGATCCGAGGCAGGACCGAAGGAGACAATCTGATTACAGCCTTCTACCTCCTTTCATCTTCATCTTCAACACTCGCTGGTTCACTCGCTCCTTCACCCACGTCGTGTCACTATGGTAACCCGGAGCCTTGTAAGAAGACAAGTGCGACCGTCGGGACGGAGCGGCGACCCGGCGGTCAGCGCAGAGACGGACACATGTTCAGGGTGTGTAGAAATAAAAACCGATGACAGATTGATGCTGATGACAGAGGCTGGTGCAGCGACGCATCACGTCGTCTGATCAATAAAAGGAAGAGCCAACTGTCCAAACAAATAGTTGTCTAACATGCTAAAAGCCATAAGCTGCTAACAGTGTCCTTGTTTCCTTCTATTCTGGTTTCAGCAGTTACACTTCAAGTCCTTTCCAGGTCTTACATTCTAGCTGACACTGACCCAGCCAGACATTTAGATTTGAATTAAAGACAAAGCTCCTCACATCTTCTGCTTTTAGTGCTTACACTCCATTCAGTCTTCAGTGGATTGAACACATGCCATTTGGGACTCTTTTCAGCATTTTCTCACTATAAACAGATGTTTTTTGGCAGGTATGTCTTTAGAATTACCCTCCTATGGCTCTCAAACCCTTTCAGGTCTCAGGTCCCTCAAACATCATT